ACCCATTATTAAGATGGCGTAAATCATTCCTTAACAACAGGTCCCAAATTGTTATGCTTGGGGGCTGTAACTTCCAAACCTAGCCCAATCACTTCTCATGTGGTGCAAGGTAGTGTCATTGGACCCCCCTTATTTAGACTATACATCAATGACATATGCGCTTGCTTCTCACATGGGAAATATTTACCTTTGCAGATGACCTAAAAGTAGCTTATACATTCCAATATGATGACCTAGGGTACTTCGAAAATGTTGTGCAGAAGGAATTAGATAAATCTTGGTTGACCAGATACGTCGTGTGTTTGTTCGTCATCTATATTCTACGATACAATGACATGAGCGTGTTACGGTTCAGATTTGAGGGTATAGCTGATAGAGGGGAGTCAGCGAATGGACTCTGCGACGATTTTCCAACCTAGAGCGTCAACCTGAGAAGGAATGTAGGCGTACTGCTGTAAAACCTACAGTTCTTCAAAGGGTAGTTCTTCGTGGCAGAATCCACCATATATGATGTATTAATTGTAGGTATGTTTGTGTTAAGTAATTGAGTAGGTTCAGATTAATGTAATTGTTGGTTAATCTTGTTTGTGTCCGGACATTCCACAACTTACAACCGTCAATCTGTGAAGGGTTGCAGGCGTACTGGTGTAAGTCCTGCAATTCTTCAAAGGAATTCAATCAAGACACGATCTGCGAGTTTGTGTGTACTGTTTGCATATATGTGTGGTGTGTCATATCAATTGGTGTTTTTGGATTCATTGTGTTTACTTGTTGTTTTCGCACCTTGTTGTTATTGCGTGATTTCGTTAAATTTTTCGTCGTGATTACTTCTGAAGTTGTTTCGAGTCTTCTATATCCATGAATGAATTGATTGATGTTAAGGACAGCAGATGGGTCGTATACGCCGGGGAGACTATTGCTGAGAATGAAATGCATACGGAGATAATTGTTGGCTGCGGTCCGACACGCCGGGGAGAAAGAGTGTAAACGACTGAGGCTCGCATACGTCACCGCTACTAGAACTGAGGCAGAATGAGTGACAAACGATTGCAGTGGTAATTATTAATAATAATAATTTTATTTTCATATAAACATAAATTTACATGAAAATGCATGCCATTTTTACAGGTACGATCAAGTATGTTATAATGTCAAATCGTAGATTGTCTACAAGTTAATAATGTTTCAACAGTTAAATATTTGATATATATATATATATACATATAAATACACTCATTGTCTGAACCAGGCCGTATAGTTATTGAATTGTACAGTTGTCCTCCAGGTTGCACGGGAAAACCGACTTCGTTTCCTTTTCATCCCGTGGTTGTAGGCATACGATAACCAACCAATATTGAGGTAAGTACAACGTTTACCAGGGATTGGAAGCTGTTTTAGAAAAGTAAAAGTGCTAAGGTGAACCATTAAAGTGTAATAGATTAAGTGAGTGAAATATATCAATAACAGACACATTTATGTAGAAAACAGAATGGGGAAGTAATTAATCCTTAGGCCGACAACGTTCATTTGCAATGTATAATGATACCAATATTCTTCGCACTATCGTGATGTCCACTTTTGGCTTTAATACAATTATTTTCAAGCCAGTTGTTTTTATTTCATGCCTTTTTGTCTATTTGGCGCACAACCGTACCCTCCAGAGAATAGGAATAGAATAAGTGGAATCAAATTCATAAAGAGCTATAAAATGTTAGGTTTAATGGAATATAATGAGGATCAAGTAAAGACGTTATCAGAAAATGAATAAGACATTGTGAGGTGGTATTTAAAGAACTGACAATGGACAGCAAGTTAATTTATAAGATGCCCCATAAATCTGTGCACAGCCCACGTGGTCGCATCTCAACAATAGGCTGAGCGAATGGTATATATTTAAAGGTAGAAGCATGATCTGTCAAGGCGTTCATCATTATCTTTTTCAAGATAAAGATCAATGCCCTCATAAAAATCAGAAATATCTCGAGCCTTCAAATTGCGTATTGCTGTTCCTGCAGAATGGGGTGATTCACCTTAGTGACCACCACCATATCTACTGATCAGCTAGCACCACCCTCCCTCCATTTTTGATGTTAGGCTCTGAGACTATGATTATTATGGTTACCGCAAATATATTGCTTGGTACCAGACATGTTCGTACCTCATATTCCATCTCCCTAGCTTTCTTAATGAGTGCTTCCAATAGGTCTCCACGTACATATTTATGAACATATTAAATAAATAAATGAATAAATTTATTCTCATGATTCAGTACATAAGGGGGGCACCAGTTCACAGGCATCATCAAATTGTTACAGAAATAGGACCATATTACTCAGTCACAATTTACAATCGATAGCAAAATGTGTTTAACATGTACACTGGAGATTATACATACACTTGATAAATGTTAATCCCAATGGTATAAAACAGCCTTTTCACTTATGTGCAATCATTTCTGTGCATAGATGGAAAAATCCGCTAGATTGTCAGTGAGTGTAACACATCAGGAAATACAGAAGTATTGTCTTCGCATTAACAAAAACACCAGGTCTTTGGTGGATGGGTTATAAGTGCCTGGGAAAAAAAATAAAGCTTGAAGTCAATTTTCGTACAGTACTTTTTTGTGTGCACAGTCCCTGAATTATAGTTCATTGATGTGTTATTTTGAAATCAGTGATATGTTTATCTCATTTGATCTGCAGTATCATTGTTGGGAGTAAAATACATAAGCTTTAAACGCATTAATTAATGGATTTTTACTGCTTGTGGGTATTTACTTCTCGTGAGGAAGGTTTTTGAATTTTAGTTGTTCCGACAGGAGTCGTGGATATTGACTGCTTAGCAACATTATGGATATAAGTTCATCACATTATCTCAGGAATGTTGGGTTGTAGTTGGTGATGCATATATGATGTCCGACGAGCGTACATCTGTCCATGTGATGTTGTGGTGAGTTATATCTTTTTCATGTTTTCGGTTTATGTCCATTTTATTCCACTTATTGTGTTGGGTAGAAGTTTTACAAACGAAACTTCTTGTCTTTTTGAGGGTAAGTATCTTAATCGTTAATGCTTTATCTAAAATTATAAATATAGGCAAAAACAACAGGTGTAGTATTTGAGCTTATACATTAAATGGACCTATAATTTCGGAGGCTCTCAGATAGGAACTAGGACTACTGTCGTTTGCAAACTCGTGTAGTTTGTCGTTAAGCACCTTTTTTAATGAGGCCAATGTACCTGCTTTACGCATTCCCATTGGTAGTTTATTCCATATCTGTGCATACCTAATCAAATAAAACTTTTGCCTGGTAGCCGTTTTACATTGTTCGATAGCTACTGTACCCTTAGTGTGTCTTAGTTTGTAGCCATTGTCATCTGAAAGTCGAATGCCATTAGTAGAGGTAAAAACTAAGTGGTTTAGAAGCTTATAGTAAAGTGTTAAGTTTAGTCTCAGGCGTCTTAGCCATAGTGTTTCTAATCCTAGTGTCAGCAAAGTCTCATAAACCGTTAATGCCCAGCTCTCGCTACGCTCGGGCCCACGCTGTTCTTAGAAGATTTCTCAGAAACGCTTAGTTATAACGGACGCAAAAACCAAAACACCGATCTGCCGTTTGATATTTGTTTATTGTTACACCAACATATAAAAGGAATAAGCGAACTAAGCAAACTAAGGTCTGAAAACAAATATTACAATAATAAATCTCTGTATTACTTCTGACGATGTTTCACTCTTCTTTCTGAACAGCGACCGATGAGACGATGACTGTCGTATTGATGCCTCCGCGAAAATTGGGGAAGTTGATTTTGAGCAAACAACCAAGAATTGATCGTTCAATCTTCAACTCCATTGACACTCCCCGGCAAAAAAGGGATCCAACCCTTTTTTCCTTCACGACCAATGCACGTTGACTTGGATGCCATTGCGAGAACCTGGGTCACACGGACAGAGCTGAAATGGAAAACAAACAGAAAAGCCAACACACCACAAGCATACCCACAGCACAATCTCACACATCAATGACGACCTGCGCCTCCAGACAGAGACCTCCTCTTGACATCTTGCAACACAATCGCCACTTACTAGAATGACTCTTGCAGAATGCAACGTGACCATAGCACCAACTCATGATACTCTTCAAGCATCCTCTTTTCTATTCACTATCAATTATCACTGAAATCGCTTGTCACTCATTCTGCCTCAGTTCTAGTAGCGGTGACGCATGCGAGCCTCAGTCGTTTACACTCTTTCTCCCCGGCGTGTCGGACCGCAGCTAACAATTATCTCCGTGTGCATTTCATTCTCAGCAATAGCCTCCCCGGCGTATACGACCCATCTGCTGTCTTTAACATCAATCAATTCATTCACGGATGTAGAAGACTGGCCACAACTTCAGAAGTAATCACGACGAAAATTTTAACAAAATTATGCAATAAAAACAAGGTACGAAAACAACGAGTAAACACAATGAATCCAAATAACACCAATTGATATGACACACCACACGTATATACAAACAGTACAAACAACCTCGCGATCATGTCTTGATGGAATTCCTTTGAAGAATTGCAGGACTTACACCAGTACGCCTACAACCCTTCACAGGTTGACGATTGTAAGTTGTGGAATGTCCGGACACAAACAAGATTAACCAACAATTACATCAATTGGAACTCACACAACTATTTAACACAAACATATGTACAATCAACACATCAAATGTTGTGGATTCTGACACGACAAACTACCCTTGAAGAACTGTAGGACTTACAGCAGTACGCCTACATTCCTTCTCAGGTTGATGATCCAAGTGGAAGTCGTCCGGACACAAACAGAATTACCAACAGCTAGATGACAGATGATATCAATTCAGTATATACAATATGAACATATGTACAAAATCACACACCAAGCACATTGGACTGCTCATTGATGCGCTACCCTTTGAAGAATTGTAGGACTTACAGCAGTACGCCTACAACCCTTCTCAGGTTGACGCCCTAGGTTGGAAAATCGTCGCAGAGTTCATTTGCTAACTTCCTTCTATCAGCTATATCCTCAAATCTGAACGGCAACACGCCCATGTCATTGTATCGTAGAATATAGATGACCAACAAACACACGACATATCTCATCAACCAAGTATAGAAACAGAGTAATTTACACCAAAGATAATAACATTCAAATAGTAACTTGAAACTAGAAATGCCTTTATTCGTGCAAGTCAATTTAACAATAACTCTCTCCTTTACACTTGGCTTATCCACACTAAACTGACCATTGATATTCGTCCTTTCAAACGAACTGATACTACCATAGTCATTGCACAAGATACTTGAGTTGATGGGCATCTGTTTCATTGTGGATGAAAACACCAACGATGACTGAGTGACACAAGGTGATGAACTTAGCGGTGGATCAGAAGCTGTTCTTTTTCGGCTTTCAGATAGTTGTCCAACTGCAAGATTACCACCACTGCTGTCTTTCACTACTAGTTCGGGTTTAGCACTATCATCTGATGATAGGTGGGCTACACGCTGATCAATTACACTGACGGTCTCACAAGTATGCATGCCTTCTGCAACTGCATTCAATTCTACTTCACGTTCAAGTTGTACAGAACCTTTATTTAACTTAGCAGTAGTAGGCATATCCCTCATTTCATCATGATCAACCAAAGACAAATCTGCACTATCATGATCATTATCACACATATTCAATTTACCGTCAAGTTCATCATTTTCAAACTCTTTAATAACAGAAGTAGACAATTTTGGTTCCTCCTCACAAATCATTAAAGGTTTTATATCTTCACTCTGACTAGTTATACTTTGTAAACTTTTGGAGTCAGAACTCCACTCTGAAGCAGTAACTCTATTCTGTGACACTCTATTCAACAACGGCTTACCAGTTGCAACTACAGACTTCTTCACAACAACGTTATCGTCACACAATTCGGAGTCAGACCTGGAGTTTACATTTAGCTTATCACTGAACTTGCTCACTGGTTCACAGTTCACTTCTGTATGCACCTCTTGCACACGTGTAAAACAAAGCCGTGTTTGTCTTGCATCTTGTAACTTATCTGTTGAGGATGTACTACGAAACCTGTTACACTCACTAGGTCTATATGCATTACTAGACATCATGGAGTCTTCTCGATATCCACCTCTCTGAGGCTTATTCGTCATCAATGAGTGCGTTTTACCCTCAGACTGCTCTATTCTAGGGGTGAGATCTAACAGACTGGAAAACTTGCTCATAGATTGATTGACACTAGTATTTACCAGTTTCAGGATATCATCAAACTTTGGCTCGATACCCTCATCCTCCATACGGGAGCTTATCTTCACCCACTTCCTTTGCAGTCGAGTAGGTAGACGTCTTGCTATTACTTCTAGTATAAAACTCGAGTTGAGGTCACTCATTCGATTCATCGAAATCATTCCATTCTTGTAAATTAGCAAATTATCTAAAAACTCAGTGAGTGCCTGGGAGTCATCCTGTAACTGACCACCATTACCCTCAACAGCCTCGAATAATTTCCCTGCAATCATCGAGGGTCTTCCAAACCTTTGGCGTAATATGCTCATAGCCTCATCGTAGCCCTCTTTTGGCTTCATAAACTTACAACACTGTATAGCTCTTGCAGCATCTCCAGTGCAATATCTCATCAAATACATCAATTTCAATTCATCATTTAATAAAAACCACTCAACATGATCTCAAACTCCTTTACAAATTGTAAATAATCAGCCGGGTTTCCATCAAAACATCGTGGTTCAAATTTAGGGAGTTTGATGTTCCTATTATCCCTGAACGGCGAAACAGTAACATCAACCATGTCATGCTTAACATCAGACACATCGTTACAATTAACAGACAAGTCACCATGACTTACTTTCCTGTTTGCATCCAAGACACTCTGTCCCTTCTTTGACCCAGGCATTGTTGAACTTGACCAAATTCCAAAAAAGTTCCAGATATTGCTTGTTCAAAGAGGACTTGACCGGCACCAGGAAAAATGAACGGCGACTATCCAAACTTTCACCAACTGTTTGAATCCGCCAGATCTGTTTCTATCGTCAGAAACTGTCAGCCACGTCTCATAAACCGTTAATGCCCAGCTCTCGCTACGCTCGGGCCCACGCTGTTCTTAGAAGATTTCTCAGAAACGCTTAGTTATAACGGACGCAAAAACCAAAACACCGATCTGCCGTTTGATATTTGTTTATTGTTACACCAACATATAAAAGGAATAAGCGAACTAAGCAAACTAAGGTCTGAAAACAAATATTACAATAATAAATCTCTGTATTACTTCTGACGATGTTTCAATCTTCTTTCTGAACAGCGACCGATGAGACGATGACTGTCGTATTGATGCTTCCGCGAAAATTGGGGAAGTTGATTTTAAGCAAACAACCAAGAATTGATCGTTCAATCTTCAACTCCATTGACGCCTAGGGTGTCACGTCTAGTGGATATATATGTGTGCTTGCATCCCAATGAACAGATTACTTTATAAGAAGTTAAAACCCAAAATAGTAAAAAGAATAGGATTTGTGAATAGAGGAGCAAGATTCAGCAGAACACTATAGTTAGGGTTCAATGTAGGTAGTATGAACTGAAGGCAAGGTCGGTTGGCAGGAATTAGAGTACTTATATATAGTAAACATCTGACATTGCAAAGTAACGTGTCTAGACATATTATAAAAAGATATTATCACAGAACCAAAAAATTTTTTAGCATTTGGTTAACAGTACTGCAGTGTGTGTATACTGAAAAATGGTAGTTAGTCTACAGGGAGCCGTAGAGTAAATCAAACCATATATGATAAGAGTATAGGCAATAATATAATTCGTATGTCAAGGAATACACTAGGCTCAATAATTGAGTTTTATAAGAGAAACAAGCGTGGTAAAGCAAGAGAACATTGGCTGCATAAATATTTTAATCATTTTAAGTATTTTAATAACAATCTAATTTAAGAATTGAATATGCATGATTAATAAGTATTATTCTATTAGTATATACGTATGTAAAATGTTAAAAGGTGTGGACGCTATTATTATTATTTCCAGTGTTACTTTTACCAACACAACTTAGTGAAAATTATACAGAATAGAAATCGGTAAATTAGTTAACGTTCGCTGCGTGAGTATTAGAGTCGAGATATACGTATGTGACTATACTGAGGACTGGACTGGCCTTCAATTTCCGTTCTACCAACAGTTGTGGTCTTTTAGACGAGCTAGGGTGGAAATGTTAAAGTGTCTTTCTAGGCTCCGTTTGAACCCATTAGGGTTTTCACAACATCTTGTTTCAGTTGGTAGTTGGTTCCGAAGAGTGCAATATTTTATGGTGAAAAAGTTTGCCCTAATGGATTTTTTGTGGGTAGCCACCTTGACAAGGTAGTCGTGGTTTCGCAGCTGATATGATTTAATATTTTCCCACGTTATGGATGAGTTACTGTAGCAATGTTTCCTAATGACTTTGAAGAGTAGAAATAAGTTGCACTTCACTCTCCTTAACCACGGAGGTTCTAATTTCAGACGTGCACACCTGTCAACATATTCCACTTGTTTGTCGAACCCTATTATGCGTTTCGTGAGGAATCTCTGGACACTTTCGATTTTTTTTCTGTCTACAGTCCTGAGGTTACTAAATAGGAGAGCACAATATTCAAGTTTGGGACGGATACATGTCCTATATATAGCTAACCTTGCTTCTTGGGTGTAGAAGTTACGCAGTACAAAGCCAGTAAGTCGTTTGCAGTCAGAAACAACCTTATTTGCATGATCAGAAAAGGATAAATCTGAGTATGTTATCCCGAGATCTGTGACTGTGTTCAGTTTTGAGAGGAGCTTACCGTACATATATAGGCACATTATCGGTTTCCAGCGATAGAGACGGGTTGAAAATTAGGGATAATGTCGTGAAGTCGAACATTTTGTTGAGTAAGCAGCGAGCATTGATGAGACAGAATGACAGAGAGTTAGGGGTGACGGTGAAACCGCATATATCTTTAAAGAACTTCTCTTCAATGTTTATGGCGTCTAGAGCAGATTGTTTGATGGGTGCTAACTCAGATGGTGGCAACTTACTGGCGGCACTGGAAAAGTGCCCTACACCAGTATCAGCACAGAGAGATGTGCTATCGTTGGTTACCCCGGCGGGTGTGGGGTATTCATAATACCGTGGATCCAATGCACCGCCCTCCCATCCGGTGATAAGTGGCTTGACAGTATGTGTGCTATTTGCGTCAATATTGAGGCTGAAATTTCGTGTTGGCTGAGAAAATTTAGATTGGATGGGGGGGAGGTAGGTATTCCTTGTGGATGGTATGCTGGAGTATAGTTACGCGTATCGCAGTTATGACTGATATTTTGCGTGTTTAAGTTATTTTCGTAAATATTAGTCCATCGATGATCTTGGGTGGTCTGTATATGGTGGTTTTCAGGGATGTGGTGAGTCAGAAGGCCACCTTTAGGAAACAAGCCTAACCCACTTGTTCCTTGTTGTAGAGGTTCCCGGATTAAACTTTTGTCTATATTAGCCATAGACTGGAGAGTTGTTTCGGGGTAGGTGTATGCCTGCCCGTCGGGCTTCGACTTATTTTCAGGGTGCCCAGACATAGCGTCTGTTGTGTTTATCGGACGAAGATTTGTTCGAGGTTGGATGAATCGGCGGGTTACCTCTCTTTTCGTTGACGTTATATTTATGGCGGTATGAGGGCTTATTCTGCTTCCCTGGGTTAGTGATATGATTGGAGTTGCTTAAGTTAATGTTATTTGGCTCGCTGCTGAGAAACCTGTCAGGGACGGGTTTGAGTACAGGTATTCTGGATGGCAGAGTTACGTTACTTCGTTTTGTATGCTCACTAGTCTGAGTGCTACTCGGGGAGGCTATATTTAATGCTAGATGCTCGAGCTTAGCCTTTCGCGTAACATTGGTAGTGATATTAGCGGCTGATGGTGATGTGTCTAGCGAGCATAACTCTAAAGAAGCATCTAAGTCTATGACCGTAGTTGCTTCACTGTTGATTTACTAGGTAAAGCTTTATTATTTAAGAGTATTTCATTTTCATGCGTGTCTGTAGCATTAGGTTTACTTAAATGTAAGGCGATAGAGTCTTTTGTAGGACATTCTGCAGTTACGTATATATCTGCGACACTTGATACACTTGCGCGGCTACGTCTTTGACATGGCGTTAGGTCATGAGCAAGTTTAACGTTACCATAAAGTGTAGATGAACTAATTATCTTATTTGACGACTGAAATTTCCTAGCATCATTGGGACTACTGAATTTAAACAGCACAGGGCAAGTATACTTTCCTGATTTTTTCCTGAGTCTGATTAGGTGGCAATTCGCTGACGGCATGCCATACGCTTAAAGACATGTCACTTTGATTTTGTCCAGAGGCATCCGATCAGGCAGATTGTAAGCGAGAACGTTGTACGAGGACATGATTCGTTTAGTCACTTCACTGGCTATAAAGTCTAAAATGCGCTCAGACTTCAGCAGACTTTCCGGATTAGTATCATGAGTTGGGTTACAAAGAAGCAGTAACGGCTTAATGGTATTTATATTCTCAGTTAATCCCTTCACAGAGTTTCCTAGAGAAATAAGGTCCAACTTATTTTGTTTAGCAGTT